GGACGATGTGGCGCCGACGCAGACACAGGCCCACCACCAGCGCCACCATCAGCAGCAGGAAGAGGCCGCCCACGATCCCCGTGGCGATGGACGGGATCCTGGGCCTGAAGGAGGTGCAGACACGGGCGAAGGTCAGGTTGTTGCCAGACGTCATGGCATCTGCGTTTCACCTGTATCCTGCCTGTGCTGAAACGCTGACGCCACTGAACACGCTCAGAGAGGCGCTGCAGCCGCTGAGGGGGGGGGAGCTGAGGGTCCCTGCAGAGTCCTCACTGTCCCCGCCCCCCACCTGGCTGCGTTGCACTTTTCAAATTGAGGTGTTATCTGGATCTCTCCCTATAGTGGCTATACTAGTATATAATTATTTTATGTTATTTTTTTTAGAGAGAGGGAGAAAGGAGAGAGAGAGAGACACACTGATCGGCTGCCTCCTGCATGATCCCCACTGGGAATGGAGCCCACAACCTGGGCATGTGTCCTGACCGGGAATTGAACCGGCAACCCAGCCACCTTTGGTGCATAGCACAACGCCCGACCAACTGAGCCACACGGGGGCAGGGCAATGGTTCTATTTCAATCTGTTGATTAAGAAAAGACATTAATTCCAAAAGTAACTCAGACTTCAGTTCTGGTTTCCATGTGAATTTGCATGTTTCTCAGAGTCTCTCTGTGCTCGGAAGCAGCGCCCTCCCGTCCGTGAGCCCCATGCTGTCTGCTGGCCTGGCTGGGGAGGGGCCTGTCAGTGATGCCGAGCCTCCTGGAAGGGCCCTTGGCTTTCCAGATGGCACCACAGCCGCTGAAGTGCTTCGCGTGAGCTCGGAGGGGGCTGTGCAATGAGGGGACCGCACACAGAGACCACCCCCGTCCTAGACCAGGGGTGTCACCTTGCAGCCTCAAACCTCCGGGCGAGGTTGTGCCTGATTCCAGAGAGAGCAAAACTCAAACTCAAACTCTAAAGCTCACTGGGGAGAGAGCCGTCTGAAGCAGAAGATTCCGAATTTGAATATAAAGTTGTTATTCTTAAGTATCGGTGCCATTTCAGCTTCCGGCAGACTTCATCGGTCCAGGTAGAAATGTGAACAAACAGCGAAGATCAACCAGTTGTGGCATTTGGACGTACAATAATGGGGCGTCGTCCTTACGAATTTCTCGTAAGTGGGTCACATGCACTTCGTGAAAGTGACAGTTACAACATGTTCTGCTTAGAGTACACGAGCCATCCCCCGCGTCAGACCGTCTGCCCACCACTGCCGCTGGAGCTCATGGGGTTTCACGGTTTTGGAGGGAACGTGAGAGAGATACAGGAACGAATCGGTTCCTACAGAGGATGTGTTCCACGTCGAGTCATAACGATGCCATTTCAGCTTCCGGCAGACTTCATCGTTCCAGGTAGAAATGTAAACAAACAGCGAAGATTAACCAGTTTGTGGAATTTCTCGTAAGTGGGTCACACGCACTTCGTGAAAGAGACAGTTACCACATGTTCTGCTTAGAGTACACGAGCCATCCCCCACGTCCGACCGTCTGCCCACCACTGCCGCTGGAGCTCATGGGTTTCCACGGTTTTGGAGGGAACGTGAGATACAGGAACGAATCTGTTCCTACAGAGGATGTGTTCCACGTCGAGTCATAACGAGGGCGAGTGAATGGAAAAACTTAAAAGAGTAAACACAACAAAGATCGGTGCCGGACGGGTGCCTGTGGGGCGAGAGGGACCTCAGTGGAGGTGCTGACTGTGGACGAGCAGCAGGAGCTGGCTGTGCCCCGGCCCGGGAAGAGGGATGGCTGAAGAGACCTTTGTCCCCGCAGCGGCCTCCTGTGTGCCCTGACGTTCCCCGGAGAGTAGGAAGGATCCGTGACCACGGCTGATTCTGGGGGGAAGCGTCCGCGGCACTGAGAGGGGTTCCGTCGACATGACGGGAACTGCAGGGGTTCCCAGCCCGGCTGGGGTGGCTCAGCCTGTTGGGCATCGACCGGGATGTCACCAGTTTGATCCCCAGTCAGGGCACAGGCCCGGGTTGCAGGCTTGCTCCCCAGTGGGGGGCGTGCAGGAGGCAGCCGATGGATGTTTCTCTCCTCGACGTTTCGACAGGTGTCTGTATAAATCTGATTCCTCTCTAGACGTTACTCATCGATAACCCGCTCTTCCCTGCTGAGTCCGAACAGGAAGCCCAGCTCTGCTGGTCCCAGGGCCGCGTTTCAGCAACGACGGCAAAGTGACCAGAACTGAAATGCTGAGGAGGTGGCGCTGAGAAAGATCAGGGAGAAACCCCAAGTTGGAGCTTTGTCACCGAGCAGAAAGGTCACTCAAGCACAGGTCTGTGGCAGGGCCAGCTGGGACAGGTCAGGGAGGGAGGAAGAGAAGCTAGGAGAAGGGAAGGGTCCAACCACACAGGTGTGACCAAAGAAGTCAGAGGAAGGACAGAGGAAGGAGTGCTGGGCATCGAGCACGCACTTCCTGCTCCCCTCACGGCAGCACACCACCAGAGCCCGGAGACGGCGGGGGTGAGGGGGACCAGCAGGTGCTGGCCCAGAGGGAAGAACCTGGCCAGGCAGAGGGGAGCCAGCAATGCAGCCAGGCACTGTCTCTGCCCATATTGCGCTGTCATTAGACAACGCGGTCACACTTACCCGTTGGTCGTGCAGCCTTCAAGACCTGGCCCTCTGCAGCTGCAGGGAGCAAAAGAGAAATACGTTTTGATGGTGCTCTTCCTTAGCATGTTCTCTGGAAGAGCTGTTGTGAAGTCATGAGCAAGCCTCTTTTTATTCCATCACCAGGCAACCCTCTCTCTTCTCTCTTAGGAAGCCATGGCCCAGAGGGGTTACTAGTGAGTGAGATGCCCAGGGTCGTGATAACTTAAGTGGCAGGGACTGAGTGCCTGGGACTCATAACCTCTGCTCCTCCCCCCGTCCCCCCGACTCAGCACAGCTCCAAGTGGAGAAGGATTAAGTTCCTCTCAAAGCGTTAAAACCGCGATGCGCCTCAATCTGGGGGCGGTGGCTAATCATTTATTCTCACGCATTTATTCACTCGGCAAATATTTTTGAGTGTCTACTCTGCGACAGGGACTGTCCTCGTGTTGAAAGGCAGAGAGTTTCCGGTCTTGTACCGAAGTGTTTCCACGTGTTGCTTTGGCGCAGGCACAGCTGTCTCACAGCTGCCTCGAGGGTACAAGAGGGCAGAACAGAACCAGGTCCTGGGTCGTGCTGGTCCAAGGGGGAGTGAGGGGGACGCAGGTGAGCGAGGACACGGACCTCAGGGGCAGGGGACTGGGCGGCGATGAGGACTGCAGGCCCGAAAGCCGGGAGCAGGAGCTGGCTTCCTCCAGGGCCACGTGACCGAGCGTCACAGGAGGCAGGGACAGCGCTTGCCTTACGGTGACTCTCGAGCCCCGGGCACCAATGTAAGTGTCAACAGGAAAACAGACGATGCCAATTAAACGGGAAAGACGGGCACTTTACGGCCTGGGTGAGGGAAGTGCATTCAAGCGTGGGAAGAGGTCTGGGGGCGCTTGTGTGACAGACATTTTCTGTCTCCTCTGAGGGCTCTGTTCTCTGGGGACCTGGCAGGACTATGCGCTCATTCCACCCTCACGTCTCTGTGGTTAGGAGCTGCGGTATCTCAGCACAGACTCCTTCAGGATGAGCCCTGGAGACTGAGCCACCTCCCACCACCACAAGCCCCGCCCATCGTGCCCC